TCAGCTATCAAGTCTTTGAAAAAACAGCAGCCTGAGTGCTTATCTGGACAAGATGGATGGGACGCATTAAGGCCCTACACGGTCTTTTGCTGCACAAATCCAGGAGTTTTCCAGCAAAAAACAAAAAAAGTGTTGGCTTTCTACCTAAAGAAAGATCAGCAGGATTATGATTTCAAAGTTGTTGGGGTTTTTTTTTATTTATTCTTGTTAGTGGTGTTTAATGTACCCAATCCTAAAATCCACAAAAAGAGATGAAAATGTTTAGACTTTAGTAAGGCAACACAGATTCTGTGCCTTGCATATACTGGAAGAAATTGTGATTATATTTGCAGTCATCACTGCCCCAAAGGTCCATTTTTAGCCAGAAAAAAGCCCTAATGTGTCTTATATGCTCTCAGAGTATACGCCATTATACCAGGTGGGGCAGCTTTCTACTTTTTATGCTTCAAATCACAGGAACAATCACTGAAATAGAAAATCTAAAACCGTCCTCTTCAGCCTGGCTTGTGATTAAGTATGATTTATAGACATAGCTTACCACTTTTTAAATTGGCTTTGCTGCATCTAGTTTTCAAAATGTAATTAATGTTAAATCCCTTTCAAATATTTATCCGGCGTTACCTTCCTGTGTTCCCTTCTCCTTTTGAAAAGGCATGTATGGTTTAAAATAAATAAAATAAGTTATTATATTTTATTCTGTTTGGCTTTATAATTTACTCTCTACTTTTTATTTAATTTGTTTTATTTTTTTATAGGCTTGTCAGTCATCTGTGAAGCACTACAATTCAACTTTGCATTGACTAAGCTCCATGTCCAAGTTTAATTTTAATCCCCCAAATCACTTCATTCCCTCACGTGTCAACGTTGCTCCTGGTTCACTGTGGTCTGCTGGGAGTGAGGATGACTATACAATTAAGCATAACAGAGGTTTAGGTGTTTTTTTTTATTATTATTATTATTATTTCTGATGAACAAAAATGGATTAAAGCTGGAGTATTTTTACCCAACTTACAAAAAGAAGTTGAAAAAAAAAAAAAAAAAATCACAGTCCTGGTGATATATTCAGGAAAATCCTACTGAAATAAATTCTGCCTCCAGGTATAGCTTGCAGGTTGCTCAAACATGACAAAAAACACCTGATCAACCATTCAAAAGAGTATCTTTAAACTGCCAAAGGCAACATTTGGTAGGACATCAGTCTGTGTTGTTCTGCTGCAGAGAAACTAGGGGTCACATGGCTTTGAACTGGAGATGACCTCCCTTTTGGGCTCTAATATCAAGAGACGCGGCAGTGGCTGCAAATGGATGATAAGGTTTGGATTAACACACACACATAGATCTCTGCTTACACCCGCTACTACAGTGATAAAAGGGCATACTATTATTTCTCCTCAGACAGAGGAAACCCACTCCTTGGGCTCTGCTGTTGGACGTGGATCACTTGCATCCTCCAGGCGTCGGCCACCTGCTGCTAAGCTTCTTTTTTTTAACACTACCCCGCAGGTGACCTTGGTGAATATGCAACTTTTCCGCCCTGACCCTCCACCAGTGGATTCAGACTGTTAGCTAATGGCACTCTCAGCTACACCTACAAAAGACCCTTCAATGGAGCACTCAACTTGGGGTATTACAGTCTAGCTTGGTCACAAAGAACAACGGAGCTGATTTAACAGCTCAGCAGCCACAATGACCACAATAAAAAATCCAACCCACTTGCAGTTTTTAAACACATATTAGTTAGTTACTTCAAATCTTTAATGTGCTTTAGTTTTGGTCGGTTAAAATGATGACATGTGAAACAGTCTTGACACCAGACGGGGTGAAAAGAGCCATCGGCCGGACAGGGAACTAGTAATGTACAAAACAAGTGGCTAACGTTAGCAGGCTAGTAACCTTGCTAGCCAGTTCGCGGAGAAATAACGACTTTCCTCTGCGCTGTGACACATAACGACGGTGTGTAGTTTTTAGTTTGTAACTTGTAATATGATATATTGATTCAGCACATTCTGATAAGGAGTTAGTAGATAATTACAACTTACTGGCAAGCTTAAGGTTGGAGCATCCTGACGAGCTGCTACCGGAGGCCTGCGAGACCCCGGTCTTTCCTGTGCTGCTCCCCACGGCAGCGGCTGATCCGGCGGACGCAGCAGCGGCTCCTGGAACACCTGGCGGCTCAGCAAACGAGCTGGTCCTGGGCCGCCCGCTGCCGCTCATATCTCTGTGCAGGGGTCAGGGTTGTTGTTTCACCGTTTTTTCAGCTAAACCACTATTACTTATGAACAACCGGCAACGAACAATCACACCAAAGACACACCAAGAAACACCGCTCCCGTTGCCGCCGGCTGTCTGGGCTTATAGCTGTTGCTAGACACCTAGAAACGGACCGCACGCAATGACACCTGGGAGATGGAGTTAGAGCCAACCGCTACTTAGGTTTGCCGCTCTGAATTTTACAAATCAAAACAACTACAAATTTCAACTGAATTAACAGGAGGCCAGAAAGAGCCGCAGCTACAGTTAAATTTAAATTTAAAACTATAACATTTGTAGAAAAGCAACAAAAAATTCAAGATACATCAAAGAATTTAGCTTTTTTCTCGGAAATAAGTCACACCCTTTTACTTTAGTTCATATTACAGCCTGGACTCATATTAATTTTTCTCTTTGTAAAAATGTAATAAAAGTAACATAAATATTGGAAATACAAATAAAACTCAATGACCGATCACTGTGAGGTTCAACACTGCGGTGAAGTTTAAATCTTTAACAGCATATTCTTTAAATTAAATGTATTTTTTTCCATTTTATTTCATGCCTTTGGTGTTATGTCTTGCTAAACAAAAAAAAAACAAAACAAAAAAAAAAGAACAACTAATGAAGGCCAATGAATTTATTTAGGGATCAGAAGTGGGTAGCCAGGTGTTATCTTCAGCTTCCCACAGAGCATCTGTTTTACTGTACTGAAAGCTCTTTGACCAGGTCTCCTTAACTTAACCCCGCTTCTCACCCAATATGACCTGAATCTCAAAGGCTGCTCTAATCCAATAAGCACTTTCAACACCGATATGCTCGATAAAGGCCAGCTGGAGAAGCACACACTGTATGTTCCAGGGATTTGGGGATTTTGCTGCCATTATGATTTTTGAAGAGATTCATCTCCCACCGACACAGATTCACAAATAAGACACACGACATTATAAAAGACTCAAGAAATGCAGGGACATGAAATAAATGCAAGCACATAAGAGGTTGTGTTAGAACTTTAATATTTTCAATATTTAGTCTTTTTTTGTTGTTTAGAAATATTGCACATGGTCAACATGCCTGCTTATGAGATAACACTCACATCGCTCATCCTAAAATTTCCTTCTCCAAAGTAAGGACAGTTTATTTTTAAGCACAATCATACAGTGTACACGCATACGTGTGTGTATGCACATATGTCTGTGTGGGTGTGTGCACGCGTGCATGTGATTGCACATGCATGCAGACAGACACTTTACAGCCCTAACCCCAAAGTAATGTGAATTGATAGTCTTCTTTTTACCTGCGTGTATTTATATATATATATAGATATATATCTACATATCTATATATATAGATATATATATATATATTTCACATATATCCTGAATCAACTGGGTTTGATAACAGTCAAGATGGCAGACAAAATAGTCATGGTGACTATAAAAATACTGTCTCTAGAGTAGAATATAGAATGTAGATACAATGAAAAATATACTATTGATAATGTTGCTGTGTGGTGAAAGAACGAGAGGTTGGTCGTGATAACACGCTACCTGCATGTGCCAAAACATACACACAACACCCAAACACAGACCTAAATGCACATATATGGAAATACCGGTATATATATTTGTTTTTCACACATCCAACTGTATACAGAGAAATTATAGAGATACCCATAATAATAATAACTACCCCCACTCTTCACCCGAGAAGCAAAGAGCCAAAAAGTGCTATTTAAAAATTGTCTTTGACTTTTAGTAAGTTATACTTTCTATCGCTTCAACAAGAACAATAATTGCGTGATTCTTTTTTGTTTTCTTTTATACCATACTTATAGACAACAGCTCATCCCTCTCACTGTCTGACTGGGTTTAATATCTATGGCACAGAGCCTTGCCCCGAAAAAAAAAAAATAACCCACCCATTTTAAAAAAAAAAGTCCTATTGCACCATTTGATGGGAAAGGATAAAGTGTCGAGAAGAGAGGGACAAGGGGAGGGCTCCGGAGACTGCCCTCCAGTGCTGGTCTAGGATCCGCTTTCCCTGAACTAACCCTAACCAGAACCATCCTGAGCTACATAGCGCTTGACCCGGGACCAGTGCTTAAGGGCACTTTCAGACAACACTTGAGGGTCGGAGGGAGGAGAGCTGTAAAGGGGGGAGAAGGAGAGAGAGAGGGCTGAGGAGGAAAGCAGGGAAGGAGGGAAAGGGTGATTGATAACATAAGGAACAAGTTATTATTTTTTAACTACTAAAACAATCTCTAAAAACAATACTTTCCTGATTTAACTTGTGGCGGCCCCCAGACGGAGAGGGCCGCACAAATTGTGCAAACACCTGATTTCAACGTTTTACAAAACGACAAACACCCCTGCTCCCCCGCTTCTGTGTCTGGTGAGAAATCGTAGAGGAAGGGGAGGGAGGGGAGAGACGGGGCACACGCTGATTTTTGTCCCCTTATTTGTCCAGAGTTTTGTTGTTGTTGTTGTTATTATTTTTTTATGCTGGAGAAGAAACACAATAGAGCCACGAGAGAGAAAAACAGGCCACGGTAAAACTGGTTATTTCCACGATAATGAGAAAAAGCAACATCATATCCATGGGGGGAGGGAGGGAGGGGGGGGGGATTCAGAGAAGTTTGGTTCTCGTCATGTTGTCCGTATTCACCGCTATCACGTCTTCCCATCGTTGGAATATGAATCTTGCATCCAGTTTCTCCTTCTTCCGCCCTTTTTCTCCGTGCTCTGTTGGGAGCTGGTCGGTGTCGAGTTTAACGTTGATTCTTCAAAGCCTCACAACCTAAAAGTCTCTTTACATAATCTCTTTATGGTGCCTGTTCGCACAGGTTTTGGGGGTCATGACCCCCGGCAGACATACAGACATATAGATCATCAGCTCCCGCCAGTAAGGACTCAAGTCTTTCATAATGGCAATAAACTGAAGGTGCAAAGATTGGTCACACCACATCACGACTCCTGCCTTCTTGTTTTTTGTTTGTTTGTTTTGTTTTTCTTTTCAGGAGCGAATAAAATTTCATGCTTTCAGTTCCTCTTCTCACTACAATCACTAAAAACTGTGCAGGCCGATGGCTTGGTCAGACCAAGGGGCGGGGGTGGTGGTGGTGTTTGACTGTGTTTGTGTACTCACGCTGTACGGACGCGCGTTCGTGTGTGTGTGTGTGTGTACTGTGTATGTGTGTGTGCTGTCTGTCTTGCAGCATCGAGGGGCTGTGGAATATCAGTGGAGGTCGTTGGGGTTGTGTTTTTATGTCCTGACCACTGTGCTGAGGAGTGGGAGGACGAGAAAGAGGTCAAGTCAATGGCATCTGAGGGCTGGCTGGCTGGCAACAGCAAACTGCATCTGCACAATAAGTGACAAAGTGCCTTTGTGTGTCGTGGTCCTTGGTAGCAACTCCTGGGGGCTGCCAACCAAGAGTAACAGTCTGATTGTTAAGCGTGTATGTGTGTTTCTGTGGGATCATGTGCATGCTGGAGATTACATATGCACCAGGGCTGGTGTGTGTGTGTCTGTATGCATGTGTGTGTTTGCCAGAGAGATAGAGTTTGTGTGTCAAACTACAAACTACTGTACAAATGTGCTGAGAGCAGACCCGGGCAAAAGGGTTAACTAAAGACATTCTGGATACTTGGAAAATAAACAGCGAAAACAATACAAGAAGCACTTGACTCATCGTGACTTGCATGTGATTTGACCATATTTGAGGCTTTTTGATTATTTTTTTTTAAAGGACTGATTAGATGATCCAAGCGCGCCTTGAGTAGTTTGAATCATTTGTGACCACATTCCACATTTCTGCCCAGGTCTGATGGAGATTAGCGCCAGTAGATAGGACCTCACTGGTTAACGCACTCCTCTCTCTCCCTCTTTGTCTTTCCTCCATTCTTCCGCTTCGTCTCCCTCTCCAGCTTACGATCCCTCGCTTTTCGGCTCCTCGGGACTCCGCCCTTTGTCTCCCTGCTGCTCCAACCCTGCATCCTCCCGGGTTGATTGATTAAAAGAGGAGCTGTGGGAAGAGGCGGGGCTGGCTTCGGCCAACGCTCCGGGCTCGAGGGCTCCTGGCGTGGCCGTCTGCATGATCTTTTGACGGACTTCGCGGATTTTCAGCTGCAGGCACACCTTGTTGGGAAACGTGTCTGAGTAGCGCGCCTGGAAGGCAGCTGTGGCCTGAGCTGGAGAGAGGAGAGTGAGAAGGAAATTATGTTTATGTCATTTTTGCACTTTGAAAGCCCCTTGATTCTCTTCATCACAGACTGCTGCTGCTTTTCTCACTCACTTTTATGAAAAAGTGGGAAGGTCTACCGCCGCACCCTTGTTGTGACATTTAAATAGCATACCAAAGTCCATTCACGGGACATTTTAACATTAGCTAGACCTCTATACATTAAAATGCTCTGCTGCCTGCGAATGGGACGAGCTAAGAAATAAGAAAATGTATGAAGCTACATTTTCTTATTTCATTACAGCGTTTTAAAGCATTATATTTATTTGGACTGTAATTTATCTGATTATTCTGAGGTCTGGTGTATTCGGTGTATTTCTTCGTATTAAGTGTCTGCACTGTGTTGTCTGTGTTTTTGTAAACATCTTTCTTGAAAAAATAACAATGGAAACTCCCACTTAAATAAATGATTAAATAATAATTTGAAAAATGCAAATTCTTCTTTCATTGCTTCAGTCTGACAGTGATTTTGCTTTTTAAGTTGTTGGTGGAAGCACACAGCTGTGACATATTTTCATCATTACTGCTTTTGTTATTAACAGGTTTGCACTACATAATGATTCTAGCTTTAGTTTGCTGCTTCTCCTGTGACGTCATGTCTTATCTACTGTTAGCTTACCTGAGGGGAAGAAGCCATGGTCATGAAACAGCTGCATGACGAGGGCCCGACGCTGATCCAGTGTTCTGCGCAGAGACGAGTACGAAACCCTGTCCAATTCTCCCGGGGGAACCTCGCCTTCTGGACCTGGTTTCACAAAAAGGTCCATCAGACCAGCGTCAGGCCATCTCGGCATCTCTCGATAGGGTGTAGGTGCCGTACACGTCATACCTGCTCTGTCGAAGGTAAATATTTCTCCCTCACACTTGGGGGCGCTCTTGGGGGTGTTGGGCTCTGAGCTGCAGCTGGACAGGCGACGAGTCTTTCTCCTCGGGGAGCTCGGGTCTTCCCCAGTCAGCTCAAGGTCTGGAGGGAGACGGACGTGTGAGGAATAATGAAAGGCAAGCAAAGGAAAAGAGGAAGAACAGAGACTTTGAATGTGGAGATTTTGTTCCACAGGATATCAGCTGTTCACATCTAAAGTTTGGAGTCATCTCTGAATTTCTGACTCGTACCCGTGGAGTTGCGTCTCTTCTTGCGGTAGCTGGTCAGGATTGCTCTCGGTGAGGTGGCCAGACTCTGCAGAGTAGGCGAGGGAAGGACCTCCTCTGGGTTAAACTCTGGCAGCTCAGCAAAGCGTTCCTCAAAGTACGTCTCCGAGAGGAGCCTGCACACACAAACACAGTCCAGTTGTGCGGTGGTTCAAGTATCAAGGGACGACTTCTGAATGTATTCGCATTCCTTAAGGCCGAGTTCTGCCGTGACTTTCTCGCCTCTGCGGCTTCCATGCTACTTTCCTACCATCTAAATAAAGAACATCAAGAGTAAGCACTCTGCCCACTCACATTCAGTAAACAGAGTTTCCATCATAATCTTAGAAAGTTGGAGGTTTGGCCGTGCACTAAAAACAGACCTGGATGCCACTACGCTTTAAAACGAGTGCTCATTAATAAAGTCAACAAATGGAGTCCTGTCCAGGGTGCTGCTATTTTCCCTTCAAGCTGCCAAAATTACATAAGATTCATTCCTGTTGTATGCGCTCTCTCAGCTTGAAAATATGTAAACTGTTAAAATGAAAGGAAGTCTTTTTATTTTTTTATTTTTACCAAGACCAGAAAGCCAGAAAGAGCTGGCAGGCTTGGCTTATTTTTCTCTGATTTGGCAACGATTCTATGAAACTTCAGTCTGACCACGGCGAGAGCAGATCTGGACTTTAATAAAAGCTTTTCTTGCAGCTAAAGATGGAATCTGGCTTCATTATAATGCATACTTACCTGTTTCACATCAGTTTATACAGTCCGAATCTGAGGTTGCTTAAACCAACAAACCCACACAGTTGTAGAAAATATAAGAAGTAACGTTAGAATCTCAGGAGTCCTCTGACATAAAGGTTTATCAGCCCACTTACTTGTCATGAGAGTCAGGCGTCTTTTTGAGTGGCGGGGGCCGAAACTTGGTCTTCTTTGAGGAAGAGGGAGGATCTCTTTCTGCAGGTGGAGGAGGAGGGGGATCCAAACCTGAGGGTGGTGGTGGAGGTGGGGAACGAGGTCCAGCCTGGGAACAGAGTGCGAGGTTTTCATCTGTTAAAGGTTGCACTGTTGGTGTGGTTGTTTTTCAGGACATGAGGAGCTTTTTAAACTCTCCTGTGAACGCAGAATTATTTTGGCCAATAATTGTAATAATTGTAATAACTTAAGGTTTAAAGTTCAAGGAACTTTAAACGTAACTCGAATAAAAAAATAAAAAGGTTTGACGTGTGGATGCCTTGTGTGGGCAAGCAGAGGTCTCTGTTGGCTCACACCTCCACTGCAGGATGTCTGTGGTGGAGGACGGGGGGCAGGATGACAGAGGAGAGCTGCTGGAATTAGACTGCATGACGGACACTTGGTGCAATTCAGAGACAAAAGCAGCTGCAACAGTTTTGATTCTCTCTCAGGCTCAAATGTCGAAACATTTTACTTCCTCTAAGTGAATGACTTACAGACACTCCCAATGCACACTGAAGGGTGAGCCAAAATCTCAAGGCACATCTGTCTATATGTTGTTTGAAATATCACCAGTCCTCCTTTTAATGTTATAGTGGTAGATGAAGGCAGCATCTGGAGCTGGCATGACCTTTTAGGACGGGGAACTCGGTTCATGGGAGAAAAGTGAAATGTAAAAAATGATCACTTTATCTCGACTACCAATTATCCAACTACAAACCTCTGTATATTTTATATATTTTATTTTATTGCTTACTCTATTTAATTTGTAAAATATGTATACACACACACACGTAGAAAAACATATTTAGTATACACATCCAGTGATGCATATACTATTATATATTGTACATATATTTATTAGTCTCAGATTTAGCCATTCTTATATTTTGCTTGTTTTATGTTATTGTATTTTTGCACAACTCTGCTGTTTGTGAAGCTCGCACACAAGAATTTCACTAGCATGTACTGTACCAGTGTACCTGCACATGTGATGTGACAATAAAAGTGATTTGATTTGATTTGACTACCATGATTTGATCTGTGGTTGTTCAAAAATCTCTTAGTTGTATTTCAAAATTGTGATTTGTTGTAAAAACCTCCAAAATCACTTCACACAAGTTCTGAAAAAGAATCTGTATCGTTCACAGATAATTTTTGATTTGATTCTGATTCACTCGGAGAAACATATGGTGAACAGATAAAAACTTCAGATATAAAAAGTATTATTATAGTATGAGTGAAGGCCCCATGCGGCTTTGTTCACCTCTTTGCTGCTGTTGCCCGTGCTGAGCTCCTCTCTCTCCGTCTCTCTGCCTCGCTTCTTTTCACAGCTCTCTCGCTCGTCGTCCATCTCACTTTGTTTCTCCCTCTCGTATCCATCCCTCAAATTTTCTTCTTTGATGCACAAAGTGGTGTCCTCCTCTTTTTTCACTAAAACACAAAATAGATCATTTTTACCAAATTACTTATCCAGTTAAAAAAGTTGCACATTGCTGTAATTTTCCTTTAGGAGTGGACGTCTGATGAAGCCCACATTACACTATAAGATAAGTACAAATAAATCCACCAGTGTTCTAAATCAGTGGACCGTTACCTGCGATGATGCTGCTTGTACAGGTGCCCATCGAGGAGCTGGTGACACAGCTCGACAACCCCTGAGCGTCACTCTGAGCATCCAGCTGGCTCTCGTGCTTCACCTCCACCTCTGTTCCCATGCCAGGGTGAGGGGTCGCCACCGCTGAACCCTGCAGCCCTACAGCCAGCGGAGAGGGAGGGTTCGCCACATCCTGAGCTGGAGCCGCCCCTGCAGGCGGCACAGGCGTCACTGAGACCACACCAGTGGGCAGAGCGACGGGTGGTGCAGGGTAGATGGCAGTTAGTACCTGAAGAAGGAAACAGGAAACCAGGCATGTCAGCGGGTGAAATAGACTGAAGTGAACAACAACAGTGTTTGAAAAGACACTCCACCCGACGCTGCCAAAAACAGGTCTGACCCCTCCCTGCACCGGGTCTTTGCTGGCGTCCCGTGAACTCCTGGACATTGGCAACGATACTTTTGGGATCTGTATGTCCAGCTTGTTTTGATGCTTGATCGGGAAAATTTTGTGGACTGCGCCAGAACACGAGGTTTCCCAGCAGACCATCACATTGTAACCAGATGATCTAATTCACTTCACCTGTCAGTGGGCTTAGTGTTGAGGCTGATTACTGTGTGTTTGTTTTGCGCTCTGATGACGTTTAACTATTTCATATTCCACTGGCGAGTGAGGAAAACTAGTCTGTAGTGTGTGCTTTAAAAAGGAAAACCAAAACATAGCAGTGACTTCAACTGCAACACAAAGTGGTATAAGTAAGCTACAGCCTCGAGTCACAGAAGTACTTTTTTTATTAGCATTTTAATAAAATAAATTAGTAATTACTTAAGTTGGGTTAATATAGTTATTTTTACTTTATTTCTGTGTTGCTTGCCAGATGGCAGCAGGTTGGACAGTTTCTTTTTTTGGTTCACTGATCCCAGTGATGTTGTGATGTTTTGGGTGGGTTTATTCACCCGCTGAGCCTTTTGGTCTTGGGAAATCCACATCTCATACTGGTTCGTGATGTTTCCAGTTAGAATAAGGCCTCTCTTTCTCTAAAATCAACAACCACGTCCAAATGTGGGATTAATGATTGTGGTGACTTAGACTTTGCAGAGAGAGATGGTGGGAATTCATCTAAAACAGGGGCTACAAAGCCTACAGTGTGCATCTTGTTCTCTGTGCACCACACTGAGTAATTATTGATTTTCCTCTCTAATATGAATTCTAATTATTGTATTCAATTATGGCGACATGTCTGAGAATGCAGTCATGGGTGTAGAGTACAAACAGGAGGGCGTTACCACCCTGAACTCCTTCAGCAGGAGAGACAGTCACTTTGAACTGTCTGGGGTCTGTTTTAGAAGAAGTCTGATACATGAAGACTGCTTTTGTAATTGTTTTCACATCTTTATCATTACTTTCTCTCACACACCTCTACACTGCAGTGATATTTGATACTGTGCAAATCTCGTTTTACCTGACGACCGGTGGTGCCCGCTGTCTGTCCCGGAGAGCTCTGTGATTGACAGCTTAGAGGCTGAGCTGGGGCGAGTAGCGGAGGCTGACCAACGACTGGCTGAACCAGGGTTTGTGGAGCTGGGGCGATGGCGGTGAAGCCCAGAGTTGCCAGAGAAGACTGGAGATATGCAGGACCAGGGGGTTGTGGACCCTGCTGGTGCGTTGCCGTGGTGACACCTGGACCTGACTGAACATACGTGATCCTGGACGACAAAAAAGCCATATCAGTAGTGACCAGAAAAAATATATAAAATAATAATAAAATGATTAGTGTACGTAAAAGATGGTCGTAGCCACAGGCATCATGGTCCTAATTTGTCGGTTTTGTGTTTTCTAGTTCCTTCTGCGTTATCTGACTTTGACTTCATGTTTGCCAGTGAGTAATCGGCCTATTTTACTCTGAAAGTTAGGTTAGTCATGTGTTTTAATGCAATCTAACTTCCTGCCTTTGTTACTTTTCCCTCCTTTCCTGATTGTCTGACTTGCCTTTCTTAACTGCTTTCACCTTTGCTTTGTTACCCAGTCAGCCCTCTGTGTATATTTAATGTGTCTGTTTTTTGTCAGACTGTGTTCATGCCCTCTTATCCTGCCTCTCCCATGCTGTTTTTTAGCCCTGTTATTGTTTTACAAGACAAGCGAGTGGAGAGCTAAGTAATTAGATAACGCTAGCAAGCCTGAATAGACAGTTGCATCCATGAACTGTATGGTTGCAATGCACAGACACATATCTGCTAACAGACTAACAACATACTAGAATTGAACTCACCAAAGCTAACTCACACAGTCTGTTAGTATAATTAATTGCACAGCAAACCATGTGATGTGTTGCATAAATGCATTAAAATTCTCCAGAAGGCTCTAAAATTGGATCAGTTAGCTGCTTGCTGTCTCATTAGTTGTATTGTTAGTTGTGTAGTTACATAACTTAAGACACTAACAGTACTTAAAACGTATGACAAAATTCCTCCCCTGTACAGTCTGTATGAAGAAAATATTTATTTGCAGCTGGATCAGATAAATATTGGGTTTGTTTTAATAAATATGGTTTAAATGTTGGGTGTAAATTTGTTTACTGTCTATAAAATACTCAGTCATGATTCCAGCTTTAAAGAAACTTTCAGAAACTTCTCCGTATGTAGCAGTTTTGCAAAGTGTAAGGCTTTTTATAGTTGGTGTCATAGTTCACATGGCTGCAAGGGATAATGGAGAATTAAATCGTGCTCAAAGTGTTGGACTTTCTTTATCTGCATTTGCTGCACATTAAGCGATGGCATGACCCAGCTAAAATCAATATCTGACAGCATCTTTTAAAGTTGTTGAACTCCAGTGTCTCTGAGTCCTTTCTGACCAGCTCACTCATTAGTCCAGTAAAGTTTAGTCAGGGCACGTTTTGCTTGTCTTTCAGGTGTTAGGCCTGTGTTACTGACCTGGTGGGTGGAGAGGTCAGGAGAACGGTCTGTGGGGGCGCAGCACCGGGAGTCATCACCGTTGCCATGGAAACAGGATAGGGGCTCCCAGGATGTACTGTTGCTGCACCGCTAGGGTGGACGTTGGTCTGCACAACAGGCATGGAAGCGATCTGGATGATCTGGAGTGGGGGAATCAGAAAAACACCATTCATTCCTCACCAGGTTTCAGTTTTTTAGAGAACAGGTTTCACATTTTATCATCTCTCTGTCATGTATCCAGTAGTTAAAAGCTATAAACATACAATGTATTTTCATGGTTGTGAGAAATCAAAAGAATTAAAGCCGGGTTTCTGAGCCTACAGCCTATAATAACATCTCAAGCAGACCTTTGAGCTCGAAAAACAAAGAAAGCAATGCCGTACATGTAATTTGCCCTCAGTTCGGGTCACGGTGTGAAAGCACAATTACTAAACTTTTCTGTTCTTGTGAGAAAGTTTAATTCCTTCGTAAGAATTAGAAACAAAGCTGGAGTCCACAAATGTGACAGCCCCTCACTAATGTTAACGACCATCATCTAATTAAAAAGCTTATAGAGATCTGTCAAAAGAGTCGATGTCTTTATATGGTCATCATAGAGATAAAATAGCTTCTTTCAGACGGTGCATGAACTGACTCAGTATAAGATAAGAGTTCTTGTCTTGTAAATAAAGTCCAAGAAAGAAACATGGAGATGGAAATCAGCATAATAGGTCCCCTGATTAATGATACAAATCGGGTGTCCTTCAGCACTAAAAGAGATATTATAAAAAGGAGACATGGCATTCAAATGATTCTGATTTGAAAAATACCCTATGTGAGAAGTCTGCAACACAAAGGGGGCTGAAGTAAGAGGTAGAAGTTTCACTTTCAGAGGAAAGAAAGCTTTTTAAAACCTCATTTTGTAGCAAATTTAGCACTCTGACATCAGATTTGACTCATGATTCTACACGTGGAGTTTTTATGATCTTTTCATTTAAATAACGCTCAACACAACGTCACAAATAAGAGTATAAAGCTGCTTGTAATGTGTGAATCTAATTTTTTTTACTCAGAGAGATAATTCTGCTCCAAATCAGATGAGTAAAACACGCGTGGACGTCCTCGTGTCATCTGCTTTGTTGTCGCCTCACTCGGGTTTTAACGTCGCTGCTGCTCCGAGCCACCGGGCTGGCAGGTATTTATCTCTGACACCGTGTTCTTACCTTGTTTCCTGTCGCAGGGCCGTTCTGCACGGGAAGAGGCGGAGCCACCAGGGAAATGGAAGGATGAGGAGGAGTAGACCCGGTTCTCACTGTTGCCATGGGAACCAACATCTTGCTCTGCAAGACTGGCGACTGGGTTTGGACTGATTAGTGAGAAGCAGGGAGAGAGAGAGAGAGAGAATTAAATCACTCAGCGTGAGGAACAGATGAATCGAGTCAAAAGAGGGGAGGTGAAGACATCAGAGGAGCGGCGGTGGGTGGAGACACGCTGAGACGGAGGGAACATTTCAGCTACAGATGCTAGTGAAATTCCTTGCTGATAACAAGGTGGAATGACGTCCTGTTGCTTCTTATGAACAGAGAGTGATTAGGACGTGGGCGGGCGGCGGGCACTCATAACTCATGTCAATCATGTATCTCCCGTTTATGTAAGCCAATCAAATCGACTGTAGTGAAGGGAAGAGCAGCAGAAAGAAAAATCAAAGAAAGACATTTTTACTTTTTTTTGCCATTTTTTTTTTTCTCTCTCAGCCAATCGTTGCTCTCTGTCTCACCTCTAGTCCCGGGGCTGACTCTGATTCCCGCCCCCGAGTGCACGCCATTGGCCAGGGCGGCATTTGCGGGCAGGGAGAGGATTTGCTGGTGAGTGAGTTGAGGGGAGGAGGGGCTCTCGGTGGGGAGGATGTACTGCGCCTGTCCCGGGGTCGTGGGGCAGGCGGGAGGTGTGAGAGAGGAGGTGGTGGCAGCAGTGGGGTGGAGCTGGAGGACAGGTAGGGGGCTTTGGATGTGTAGGGAGAGGAGCTCCACTGCTTGAGCGGGTCCCAGACCTAGGCTAGTGAGCAGGCTGCTGCCTCCTACAGGGGTTACACTGACTGGACCAGGGGAGGAGGACGACAGGTACCCACCCCCTGCTGTGATCGGCAGCTGCTGAGCACCTCCACCCCCAATCAGGAGAGTGGCCTTCTTGTCCTGTGGCAGGGTGCTGAGGGTGATGGCTCCTTCCACCGGCTTGCTGGCGATGGGGATGGGCGTGCCGGCGATGGGGCGCACGACGTTAGTCACCATCGTGGGGGCCATGCGGACGCCGACCGGGGTCAAACTCTGCTGGGCCAGCGGTGGAGGAGGCTGGGCGATGGAGAGAGAGGAGACACCCTGCCCACCTCCTCCATTTCCTTCTCCTCCACCCGCTGCCACTTGCTCTGTCTTTAGGGCTCCCTCGCTCTCATCCTCTCCTCCATCTGCGCCTCGCTTTCTCTTCTTCTCTGACCCGTCTTCAGGACCTCCTCCGTTACCGCCACCGTTCCCTTTAGCCGAGGAGGAGTCGGAGTGAATGATGGAGGGAGAGGAGGAGGGGAGAGAGGAGCGAGCCACAGGCTGGAAGCCATGCTGGAGGGAAGAGAGAAGCACAGAGATCAAAGGGGGAAAGTTAATATGTGAAGTTCTTCTCAACTTACAGTAACTTTGAAAAGTCTGTGGGTTTTTAATGCTCGATGGGAATAAAGAAATGCAGAAAAAGGCTTAAAATAAAGCACCAACAATATGATGCTAATTTAACGCTGATGACTCAGAATCACTTTCGATCAAACAGAAAGAGCTTTGTGCTAAATTTCAAACTTTACAGACTCCAAGAACAAGTCAAATAAGACAAACACATGTTGGATGAACACCTCTGTAAACCCTGCACGTACCTGTCCATCTGGTTCATCCTCATCGCTGTCTGTCACCCTCTCTTTACACTTCAGGTCGATGGAGCCTTCAGGACATGAATCTTCTGAGGGTGAAATATCACACAACCCCTTTTATTATTAGAATAATTATTAATAATTATTCTTTATTCACCTACAAAACATTTTAGCCTTATCAATTTCATTGATCTCTTTCTTATTTACTCTCTTCAAAAAATATCGGCACAAGTGCACAAAACACACACAGCATACTTCAAACCTTTCATGGGTTTAGAGTTTGTTTGGATGTTTGCGAGTGGTGGACACATTGAGAAGTCTCATGTGTCAGAACACTTTAAGGCTTTTTCATGAATTTTTGGCTGAAATGTCTTTATTACAGTTTATAACAGTTAAAAATAGAACAGAGGCTCTGAGGATTTTGGATTTCTTTATTCCTGTTTTATTTCACAGACACCTGCTGAATCCACACACGCAGGAACGATTCACTACTCTGCCTTCTTTTGGGTCTTTTGTTAATTGTGCTTATGTCACGTATTCACCTCAGCGATGAATGAATTCTTTCTATTCTAAGTCAGGTCTTTTTTCCTTTTCCTTTCCTTGATGTTCCCTGTTTCGATTTAACTGATACTCTTTCTTCTATTTCAAAGTGTGTCATATTTCCTTGTCTTTGTCTCCTGTTTTGTCCATGTGTCAATCTCCTTCTTTCTTCTTATTTCCTGTTTTATTTTGGTGATGACGTTCTCTTTGCCTATTGTTCCTTTGTGATTGCTGCCCCGCCCTCATTAGTTTCATCTGTATTCAGTTGTGTCCACTCAGTCCTGTGTATATATCCACTGTATTCTTGTCTCTCCACTCTCAGCTTTCAGTTTTTCTCAGTATTATCCATACACTGTAAAAAAGATGGCGCTAACGTCACTTCAGAAGTGAAGCTTCAACCCTGCATTCTTTCTAATGACCAGCAGGGGGTGACGTCTCTGGTTCCAGTTATATAGAAGTCCATGTGAAAACGGCCTTTGCTGTAAACACTTTCGTTCCCACACTCGTCACACCAAAACGGTGGGATTTCACCAACCAGTGGGTGACATCATTGTGGCTACATCCATTTTTTAATGCTATTTATGGTTTTTCCTTCTATGTGTCTGCTTTAAATTTCTGCTTTTATTGTGAAATACTGGACCTAACTGGACTCTTCTAAGTATTTATCAGCCATTTAAACCTTGCCTTTTGTTTATTAATCTTGCCTCAGTTTCCTGCATTTGCATACTCTCTCCTGCAGATCCTTAATACCACGTGTTTGTGTGCGTGACAGGGATATTTACTTGTGCCACAAAAGATCTAGTAGCTGCGTGAGCTCACAGAGGAAGATTAATGACGAAGAAAGAGAACTGCCCTGTCAGAGGCATTGCATTGTCATTATTATTATTTTTTTTAACAACAAAAGTCTTCAGCTTCCTACTGGGCGTAGTGAAACACACATGTTTATAATAGTGAAAAGGAAGTATCCTGTAGGTTGACTGGAAAATCTACACCTATGACTATGAATTGATTTCTTCTGTAGATCAAATGATACAAAGGTTGTTAAGGCTGCCTGCAGACTTTCACAGCTACACTGGGAATTATGTGCTGTTGTGGTCGTGATATTTTAAGACTAGCAATTAGCAGCTGAAGTGTTAGGGCTGCATGACAGAGACACTTTTTTTTCAAGCATTAGGTATTTGCTGACAGAGTCACACTGGGTAAGAAAACAGAAGTTTACTGGCCATCATGGGAACTGAAACTATTACTCTCTGGTTATGAAACTGTAACCTCACTAAAATCACTCTGCAGATAATCTCACTCACCCATGACATCATCGTCTCCCTCTTCCTCACAGATGACCATGCGTTCCTCATCGCTAGTCACGTCCTCGCTGGCCCCACCCTGGTACAGCGACTGAGGCGGTGGACGGCCGCGAAACAAACTTGTGCCGTCCTCCTGAAAGTGGAGAAAGAAAGACGGCACATGAAGTGATCTCTCTAAAATATATCACCGACACTGAATGACACCAGCCAACATTTATGTCCAAAATATAGGAGATTTTATTTTTTTAGGAAGACAAAAGTATTTTTATAGTGATTGTGACACAGAGTGCCACTAAAGTTACTGAATGTTTAAATAAAGTTTGCCCTGAAAAATGTAAAATAAATCATTTTTAAGCTACGTCCTGCAGTATAACCAGTGATCTGGAACTACTTTTTTGGTCCCTGCACATTCTTCTCACGGCACAGAGATATCACTATTTGTCCTAATTTGGTTGCAACTAGTTGTGTAATTTAATATGAGTGGGGAGGGGTATCTTTGGTGGCTTTACAATATTTCACGTATGAGTAATTGATTTGTAAACCTCAAGTTGTGACTGTTCAATTCAGTTTTATTTCTATAGCATTAATTCACAACAGCTGCCCTAAGGTGCTTTATACTGTAAGATAAAGACCTGATAATATCAGATAATCAGACAAATAGGCGGCACTTGATGACAGTAGGATGGAAGAAGTCCCTTCTGACAGGAAGAGACCTGCAACATAATCAGGGTCAGGGAAGGGCAGCCATCTCCTGGGATGGTCGGGGGAGAGAAAAGTAAAAAAGGGAACGCATAGAAGACAAATAAATACCACAGACTATGGGAGAGAGAAGACAAACGTTACTAAGATGCAGTGAAAAGTGTGTAAAAAGGTCAGGGGGGAACAAAATGCTCAGTGCATCATGGGAAGTCCCCTAGCAGCTTGAGGCTATAGCAGCATACCTAAGGGACGGTTCAGGAATGTGTGATCCAGCCCTAACTATATGCTTTATCAAAAAGGAAAGTTTGAAGCTGAATCTTAAAAGTAGAGCCGGTGTCTCTCTCCTGAATCCAAACTGCGAGCTGAGAGGCCTGATAGCTGAAGGCTCTGCCTCCCATTCTACTTTTAGAAACTCGAGGAACCGCAATTAAGCCAGCAGTCTGAGAACAAAGTGCTCGGTTGGGATAATATCATACTATGAGGCTTCTCAATCTACAGCAAGACCTGATCATTTAGGACTTTGTATGTGAGAAAAAGGATTTTAAGTCAGTTCTGGTTTCAACAGGGAGCTAAAGAAGAGAAGTCAGTACGGGAGAAATATGATCTCTCTTTCCAGTACTCTCGCTGCGGCAACTGAGCCTCGCTCAAGCTTTTCAAGGAGCTTTTAGAACAACCTAATGATAGTAAGAAATCACAACAGTCCAGCCTCGAAGTAACAAATGCAAGAGCTCATTTTTCACATCCGTCTGTGATAGGATGTTTCTAAATTTAGAGATTTTGCACAGATGAAAGAAAGCAGACCTAGACATTAGTTTAATATCCTGGTCTAGGTTCCTCTTTCCAACTTCACTGAAGTCAGCAACTCGCACACAATAAATTATTATTTATTTTGCTGTGTTTTAAAGTCACCTTTCTGATGCATGTTGCTGTGAAACAGATACCTCTTAATGCATGTTGTGGGTTACAGGTGGATTAAAATCTCATTAAAATTACATGTGGTATGTGAATTCTGTATGTAGACAGCATTTCGCAAACAATCTGGCAGACGAGGTAACCTTGGTAACAGATGCATGTATTCCAATTATTTACAAAAAAATCTGAGGCTCACACAAATTCCCAGGAGTTTCCCCGAGAGATGGAGGAAAACAGGATTGTCTTAAAATATGGGAGAAACCCGTGAAAAAAGTGTTAGTGTTGGAAGATGTGCTGTTTATAAACTCTACAGAAATCAGACAGAAGTAATGCAGCTATTATTAAAGCATGCATACATTCTTTCCGCCCGTGGCATCAGATGAACGCCTTCAGACAAAAGCGCTCGCATGTAGGCCTACTCCTCTGTGATTAGGAGCGAAGCAGCAAACACCAGTCTCATACCTTCAAAGGCACAAAAAAAGTAGAAAGCGAAACCTTTGAAGTTGGAGGCTGCTCTCCCCCAGAGCTTCCACTGGGTTTTCAGCAGCAACAACTCGAGCCCTCACACAAAGCACCGAGCGAGTCCATTTGAACTGCTTTTGAACAGCGTTCGGCCAAAACGCTCTGCGGTCTGAGGGACACACGTCTGCGGTGTGCGTGCAGAAGCACACACAAACACTGCAACCGCTGAGTTCATGTGGGTTTTTTAAGTTACTTCACTCTGTTGCTTCTTCATTTCACTCTGGGATGCATTTTGCTCTAAGAAACTTGTTAAATACACTCAACTTGACACGTTAAATAGATTTACGTGGGTGTTTTTCTGAGAAATTACACTGTTTGGTAAGTAACCAGTTGGTGGTATCCAGTGATCTGAAACAGCTTTCTTCACAGTCTTAAATCTCCTGAGTCTGTTTGCTGCCTGGCAGCTACAGATTAACAACCTCGCACCTTCTCCAGGTCTCTCTCCCACTCCCTCTGCTCCAGGGTGTGCACTGCACTCTGGGAAAAGGCTCGGGGACGGTGAGACGGCCCCCCAAACATCCCTCCTCGACGCTCCGATGCCCCCGGCCATCCCGAGCCTCCCCCCTTCCCTTCCAGCACCTGGGACTCTGAGTGGGCATCTGGGGAAGAGAGAAGAGCAGACTCAGAACAAAGATCAAATATCACATTGAATCATCAAGGAGCGGATCAATAAAGCTTCAAATCAATACGTTTATACTCAGAAACGCTCCTTTATATTCTGACAGTCGAGGGGTTTAGTTATTGTTGTCCATACTGAACAAAAGCCTGACACTTGATACAAATGTGTGTAACGCTTTGTGCATTTTATAATAAAATACAAGCAAATCCCTTTAATACTGAAGACGAGGCTCCTCCATTATAGAAAATAATCCTAATCACAATTATTTGTGATAATTTAATACTGATATTCAGCCTTCCCCTGGCTCATCTAGAGAAACATTGTGAGTTTTATTTCCTCTAGATGGAGCTTGTTAAACAACAGCTCTCTTTGACTCCTCTTTCCTGAAAACAGAGTGAGTTTGAGCTTTTAGGGAGGGGCAAAAGAGCACAGGTGTAACCTAAAGTGGTGTGTTTATGTCACACCAAGACAAAAAAGGTGAGAGTAAGAGTGCTGATGGTCCCTGATCTGAACTTGCCAGCTGACTGGGGTCATTTTATAATCTGTTCTGTTGATGTGCTGATTTTTTTTTGTGGGTATGAAAATGTAAAATCACCTGAGTAAGAAATGGTTTTCTATAGTTCACCAGTATTTTTTTTAACTTGCTTGGAAAAATTGTTAAATTTCGTAATATTACTATATTACAGCTAGCAAACTCAATACGTTTTATACATATAAATTATGTGAAGATCTAAAAAAAGCAATGCTTCATAGCAACAGTTGGTATTAAAATTCACTGCAGAACTTATGAAGGTTCGAAGCGATTCACAGATGTTTTTTTTCCCTTTAGCTTAAAAATGCAGATTAGAGGTGATCATCGCACACCTATGCTCTCTGACATGCTCCTCTCCCGTGGCTCCTTTGGGGTACCCCGGCCCTCTGACAGAGACTTTCTGCGGTCCTTGTTACACCACTTCCAGTCTGGGTGGGCTCTGAAGTGGGCCTCTTTCACCTGGATGAGGAGAAAGATGAGGAGGAGGAGGATGAGGAGGAGGAGAAAAGGTCTTCAACTTTCTGTTGAAGCAGTTTCAGTTTCTGAATACCAGCTGTGCAGATTTCACATCCAATAATTACAGAGAAGCCACTTGAAACTGGATGTTTACAGCAGCTAATGTGTTAGACTCAATTCAAAACATTTAACCAATTCATTACAAGAAAAAGCACAGAAGTAATAAAATAGGAGGAAAGAAGAAGAATTTAAGGGTGTTTGTTTACCTGAAAGGCCAGATCATGGTACTGCTGCTTTTCATTGGGCCCTAAAGCGTACCACCACTCGCCCAGGATCTTGCTGACTGTGCGGTTGTCCTGGTTGGGATGTCGCTGGTGCACCAGGGCCCGGTGGCGTTTACTGAAGATCATGAAGGCATTCATGGGACGGCGGATGTGGTCCTTTTCCCTCTGGTTAAAGTTTGGCAGAGGACACGAGTGTTTATTGTAGTGACATTTAACAAGCAATCACCATCTGCTGTTCCACTTCTATTTTTTACATCTTGTCTGCTGGTTGACTGGGTGCACTCCGGACTGACCTTTCTGTCTCCGTCCTTAGGCAGTGCACTGAGGGACTGTGTGCGTCTCTTAATGGTTCCAGTGGAAGGCGATGGATCGTTGGCCAAACCCGGGGAAAACCTGCATCCACACAAAAAGAAAAGTGAAACTGAGACTCTGACTGAGACGGGAATTCAAGGGAGATTCCTCAGTCTGAGGCTCTATCCTCTGTCCAGACGTTTTACCACAGTTTAAAAAATAATATCCATCCACGAATGATTGCATTGACAGGAAGCAGAGTGACACAGAAAATATTACAGGAGAAGAACTCAAAAGAAAGACCAGAGATTCCTTTGTGAGGACCACCTTCGACATTCCCATTTTTCCCTACAATAACTTTAGATAGAAGATGATCCTGGTATTATAAATGTAAAAGGGAGACCTTTCATGAACAGCCTTCTACCCCACAGGAACATTTAGCAGTTCAGTTTTGCAGTTTTGCTTATGATACTGATCCTCAAAGTTGGCAAAAGTCATTCTAACAAAATGTGGTTTCGGCTATAAATTGTGACACTTGAAATATATTCGTCATTACAAAGCGAATATAGCAACACATTAGAGTCCTACTGGGATGAGTATCCATCATCAAGCGATGACACAAAAATGTAAAATGAATACAGACGTGAGAAGACTTACATCGCCAGGCATATGTGATCCTGGCTTTAATGTTTATTTTCTGAGAGCAATAAGCCGCAGTCAGGGAGCGAATCTGTCTCCAGCCTAACTATAACACAATCCCAGAGTATGGAAACAAAAACTAGGTCAGCACTGATATCACAAGTCTGTGTTTTAGGGTTTTCTGGAGTGACATTTACACCTTTTAAATATAAAAGCATACTAGTGTGGTTACATACTCCAAGTGACTCTCAGGAAAGCAATGCAGCAGAAGGGTCTCTGATGCAGTAGTGCCTGCTTATTCAGATATCTCACTCCTCCACCTCATATGTTTTAAATTTGTTTCACAAATTTGCTGCAGGAAGGGAAGGTTCAGCTCACTGTGGCGTTTCATATGAAGTAACCACTTAACCAGTATGAGATGTCGTGCTGCAGAAACCACAAACAATGTTTCCTTTTTAGTGGTTACCTGCAGTTTTTTATGCAATCATGAAATAATGGAGCAGTTCTTTCCATTTGTGTTGCTTTTTCCACTTCGTGTATCTTTCATCTGCTGTAAATTTAGTTGGCACGACGTTTCTCACCTCTTCGAGACTCTGTGGTAATTTCTAATTATCAAAACAAGGCTGGGTTTTTTTAAAAAAAATCCCCTTTGCTACTCACAAAAAAAACAAACAAAAGATATAAATTAATGAATAAATAATTAAGTCATAGAAATAAAGGTTGGCGGTGGAATGTGGTGGATGAGTCGTCTCAGACTGATGAAACAAACGGCTTCAAAGTCTTGTGGTTTAGAAGCAAACACTTTTGTATCCCTTGCCACAGGGCAGCAGGGTGATCAGACTGTGGCTGATATTGTCTTTTAGTAGTGTTTCAGCTCTGTGCAGACACCTCAAAGCGACCTTCGCTATCATTAAGCCTGCTAACTACTGAGAATGTATTCAATGAATTCCACTGAAACGGCTTTTTCTGCTACGAAACTGCATTCCCCCCGAGACACTGAACTGGTTCTGGGAAAAGGCAACCAAACATACATAAACCTGGAATTAGTTTGACCTGCTGCTGTAAACAGCAGTTAAAATAAATGGTAAATGCAGTGATGTGCTTTACTTTTTTAATATTATTTCAACATTACTGTTGTTTATATTAGGCTGCTTTGAGTCTCTAACAGAAAAATCATGCTGGGCTAAAACATGATTTTGGCTTTAGATTTGGATACAGTTTTTAACAGTCACACATGGCAGATATGGGACCAAATCACTACCCACCTCTATGTACTCTGAGGGCCTGAAACTCAGACCATTTTCATAATATGAAGTTCAAATTTTGTAATTATTATATAACTTACATTAACTAAAATTATAAATAAAGTAGCTGATTATGAGGGTATCAGGTGGGATCAGGTTTGTTTAACCTTACATGGAATAATCATCCATGAGTATAAGGTGATCGTGATTGCAGAAAACAGAGATTGTTGTTGTGAATACAATACTGGAAGTATTAACCATCCCCAAAGGAAGAAACATCCAAAAATAAACTCTTTCACAAGCTAAAAAAATTGGTTTGAATGCATTTTTTTTAAAATTCCAAGTATTGCTGAATCAAACTGTTTGCTCGCTGTTTTGAGCTGTGATGTCAGAGGAAAACAAGCATCAGATAATAAAAAGAAAAAAGAAATCTGATAGCATGCACAAATGCTTAACTAATCTGTGAATTTAGATAGTGGTTAGACTGAGTGTTGATTCTATCTAGTTTTTGTTTCTTTGTATTAGTATTTTAGTTGCTCACGAAAGTGAAAAAGACTGTAGTGGATCAGCAGAAACTGCATGGGTATCGGTACAGGGATGAGAAAGTGTTAATAAGCCATATGCATTCAGTGCTTGACACGATTTTTTATAGACCACCAAAAAAACAGAAATATTTTTAAAAATCTGTCAAAGCTTTGTGTAAAACTAAAAATTATATCGGTATTGATTAGGGGGAAAAAACAGAAAAAACGAACTGAGTTTCAGAAAAAAAGTCAGACATTAATCAAGTGTGACATTTAACTTCTAACACAAATTTTTCTGCTCATAAATGCGTGTAAATAACTGTAATTTGGCATGTGAATCAAAAAATAATCATGGACATTACTATATTTTGAGTTTTTCGTCAAGCAGTACATTTGAAAATGTATATTTTAGTATTAAAAATACAATTTTGATTAAAGCGATTGCACATACTGGTGGAACAACCACTACAGAAACATAAAAAAATTCATTTTTTCATTGTGCGGTGGTCTAATGAATTTATTAAGAACTGTACAGGTGTTGATAAGAGTTCACTGTACTCAAGTACAGAAACCTGACTAAACTGTACAATATTAGATTATTTTTATCAACACAACAATAGAAAAACATGATTTTACAGCTGTTGCTGCAGCTGATGACAGTTTTTTGTTATGTATGAATGAGCAGTTTCATAATGACAAGTAAACGAAACGCTAACCTTATCTTCAAAAGACACGACTGGTCATTTTATGAGAAAAAACAAAAGACGGATTTAGTGTTGATTAATTGGAAAATTTAACTTTTAATTATGATATTAAACTTGACGTAGGGGGAAAAGTAATGAAACTTACAGGAATGTAGAAATACTAAGAATTAAAATGTGAACATACCAGTTATCAGTATTAGAAAAGATTATCCGAGGGCGTCAGCAGAAGGATAATAGTTTAGTGTTGACTCTCAGACTTTTTCCTGAGAGCGACAGGAAACACAGGAAATCTTGTTGCTACACTTGGTGTCAGATAAAAGGAAATAATAATAAAAAAATCTGTTTAGAAGAAAAGCTTTTGTGAGCAGGCAGACAGAAAGTCTGTTAGACAGTGAACTCGGTGTCAAGCTGTGACTACATGAATATGGTGGTTTTTTTTCTTCTCCTTTTCTTTTCTACTCAACATTTTTGGCAAATATGGCAAACACAAGAAAAAGAAAGAATAAATAAACAAAAGCAGACGAAGGCACAAGAGTAATATTTACAGTGTCCATGGAGATAATGATTAAGCTATGGGAAACAAGGGGAAAAAAACCATAATAATGAGTCAGAGAGTTAGGATGGGGTAAAAAGATATTATCGGAAAAACAAGCTTAAGAAATGTCTGCCAAGACATTACACAGAAAACCCCTCAAAACAGTCATTAACAAAGCCACGTTTATAGCACATTTTAAACAACACAGCACCATCGTATGGAAAATAATAATTAAGACTTTTACTTTATTAACTGATTAGAATATCAGGGTTGAGCCTTTGGGGAAGGTTACACACATAAGCATGATTGATCCAAACAAAGAGACTTGTGTTCCTGTTACTTTTGAAGATCTGATGAAGAAAAACACATTTTAAGCTCCGATAACACAGTCATTTTGTGAAAGGTTAAAAACCTCTTTGATGGTGTTGCTGAATTATATTAAATGCCAAAGACCCCCAAAACAGTTATATATAACTGACACCATGGCATTATGAAATCTAAATGTAACTTATTTGGTTTAGTACTGTCTCTGTTTCTGATGCTGAAGAACATAAAGTTAGTTTTGACTCAGAGACATGGTACTCTGAGACTCTCAATCAGGCAGTTTGGAACAGTGGTTGTCCTCATAGAGCCGATCGATGGCTGATTCAGGAAACACGTGGGCTACTCATATTCATGACAGTAACTTGATATTATAGTGCAGGTGTAGGTATCTTCGCTGTATCTTCAGTGTTTGTGGCCCATAACGTGGATTAGTGCGGAATTATTCAGGTTTTCTGCTGAGACTTGGACTAAGCTGCTAATGAAGGAGTAACTATATGGACAACAAGTAATGTAAAACATCTCTTAATGTTTGAATTCAGGTGTTTTCATTGCCGCAGGTGTATAAAATCACAAACACAGAGCCATGAGGCCTGCCTTTACGAACATCTGTGAAAGTATGGGTCACACTGCAGAGTTTGAGCGTGGTGCTGAAAAAAGATGCGTTGTGAGATTTCCTCTCTCCACTCTCAAATGAAGGTAGTATTACTGCAGGAACCACAGCAACTGAGCCACAAAGTGACAAACCACGCAGAGTTACAGAGCGCCGAGTGTTCAGGCGCAAAGGGTGTTAAAGTCACCGCCGTTCTGCTGACTCGACAGTCTGCAGAGTTTCAAAACTCCTCTGGTATTAACATCAGCATGAAAACTGTGCACTGGGAGCTTCACAGCATGAAACCCATGTTGTGAAGGCTGAGCAGCTCCTACAGGTGAAATGTATAAGTGTCCCGGTACTTTTATCTTCAAAATTAGATACTCGCTCTTAACCCTCAAGTAGCCAAATATACAATTCATGACCCCAGACCAGTGTTGGGAAGGTTACTTTTAAAATGTATTCCACTACAGATCACAGAATACATGCCCCAAATGTATTTTGTAACGTATTCCGTTACGTTACTCAATGAGAGTAACGTATTCTGAATACTTTGGATTACTTAATATATTATCATGCTTTTTACAGCTACATAAATGTACTATTGCTGTGTGAATTATTACTATTACTGAAGGTTACTCGCCATACCAACACCAACTAGATTTTTAAATCTTAATATAAATGAGTAACAGTAGGGTGGACATTATGTAAGACTGCACTTTTTGCAGCGATCTCGTATAGCAAACTATTCCGCGCGTATATAAAACAGGTCCGCGGCTCCGAACCGTAGTAAAGGGACCTCTGGCTAATACACCGGGTTCTGTGTCAGCCTAGCTTTACTTTGTTGTCTGGGTCAACTTTGCTAGCGAGAGACAGAGAGAGGCGTTGAAAGGCTGCTCCAACAGAACTTATTGTTTCGGGGAAAACACGAACACGGTGTACAGTCGAGTCTGACTACACTAAATGTAGCCCATGAGGCTATGCCTGTAACACTCTGCCTATTGCCTTCATATTAAATAATTTTTTGAACAATAGCTTTTAAAAATATTTCGTCACGTCATTATGCAGGCCACAAGTAGAGGTGACATAGGCTGCGAGATTGAGACACAGGCATTAGAGCCTCTTCATGCGTGTTTTGTTTGGGGTTTCCACCGGCGTGCAATTACCAAAGATAGAGAGGGCATAGCATAAGACAGACACATATGTAAATATGCTGATGTGGTAGTTTTGACTGTAAAAAAGTTTCCCGACATAAATTTATGTGAGGAAATATTTTCACTTCTACTCCAACTGTTCATTGTTTTTAACAAGAATTGGTCCATTGGTGTGGGAAGGACAACGGTAATATATATGTGCTTTTTGACATCACAGCTACTGATTTGATTGGAATTTCCCACGTCTGTGTGTTGAAGCAAACCTACGCTAACAGATTTAGCGTAGCAACATTTGCTGTTGCAGAAGATGTTTCTGCACACGTACAAACAAAAATCGTAAATATAAGCCTGCAACTAACGGTAAGGTAAGGAGGTCACAGTTACTAAAACTAAAATAGCTCGGCGACTTGAGGGTTAAATAATTTAAATAGTGTTTTTCTCATGGCATGGTCATGTTTAAACCACACGTTTAACATGGCACACAAGCTTCCGTCGAGTTTGGCAGATTTCACGCCAGTTTTTATCAGATTTAATTACCGATTCTTTACATGCAGCAAAAGTTCTGGTTCTCTCCCCACTCGCTCAGACAGGGCCTTAGTGTTTGCTAACAGGAACAACTGCCAAGTGGAGACACTTTCTTCTAGAAGGACTTTGGGTAAAGTCAGTACTGTTTATAGGCGTATGTGTGAATGTGCTTGTGTAGGGGGATGTTTCACTTTTGTGTGGCAGTGAACAAAAGCAGAAAAAGAAAGCAAGAGACTGGGAATGGACCGATAACAAGAGGCTGATAACGAATAACATAAAAACAGGGTAGCAGAGCTAATATGCCGGCTCTTTTTAAATGTGCAGACTTTTTGTTTTTATTAATGCCGCTGTCCTCTCCATTGAGATGTAGGCAGATAACAGGTGTAAGCAGTGTAACGTTAAGATATTGCTGATCTATTTCTTTTGGCGACAGCAGCCTTTGTGAGCCTAGTGACCCTGAAACATTCATAACCACACTACCAGCCAGACAGCCGCGCAGCTCGTCTGAGTCACTCTGAAAGAGCAATAACCCCGCCAGATGCAAAGACACAGCCTGAGACTGAGAGGAATGAACAAGCACAGACTATACAACTCCTGCCAGACAAACACACACACACACACACTTAAACACACACACACCGATGCAGCTGATAGAAAAGTTGTTTGTTTCTTTTGAATTCTGCTGGCAAAGGTGGATTTCAATACACCTGTTCCAAGTGTAGAGTCCTTGAGAGTTTTAAAGCTGGAGATTCAAACTATACCGACAAACTGCATCTAATATAATCCACAGTTACTACCCGCTTTCATGAGTCATACCGAGAGTCGCAGAAAGGAAACAAACACTATGTATGAAGTGTTTGCTCAAAATGAGTTGACACCATTTAAATGGAGCACGAAGGGACAGAAGGTCCCTGGTTAACAACACTCTGTTGTTTCAGCGAGACTCTGAAAAAAAACACACAAAAACTTTAGAATAAAATATCCTCAGCAGCAAGTGAGGGGACCAGCAAGCAGCTACTGATAAACAGATTTCCAGACTGTTTGCTATCTCGCTCTAAGAAGTGACTGAGTTCATATGTGAGTAGCAGACAGATAGAAAGACTGCACTTGCATGTAAATAAGACCTAAACCGCTTCGGCAGTCGGCTGGCTTCTGATTGGTCAGGGGACCACGCTACCCTCTACACTTGAATTTAAATTCAATCGATTGTTTTTTGTGAATATTCCACTTCTTCTCCAACAGCAATCATAAATGTTGGCCTCGGTACACAAAAAAGCAATATCTTACATATAATCTGCTATTTCTTTTAAACTCGAACTCTATGTTTTGGAGAAAAGCAAAAAACAACTTGTTTTTTATGCGTATCAGTTAGAATGACTTTTTTTCCCCTCCTCATTGCCAACACTTGGAAGAACGGCTTAACAAAAGCAATATTTACACACTCTGATAGCACAGAATATGGGCTGGGGTCATCGTTGATAAGAGCTTAGACTTTAAAGACACAACGTTATCCTTTTGGTTCCTTATGTTGTGTGCACGGCCTGAGACGACTTATCGCATCATTACCAGTGAACCACATGAACCCTAGGCTACAGTCCCACACACAGGCTCAAGTCTCTATCCTAATGAGGTTACACACAAGAGCTTTTTTTAGTATTTAAGTATCAACACAGGGCAAACAGAACAAAGTGCACTTCACAGGAAAATGTTGAGGCCATGCAGATTGTGCTGTAATGGAGGCTACAAGCCTCAGCTCTACTTTTGTTACGCGTTAAAAATCAGGCTTTGGCTGCTTGTTTGAGGTCAGCATGCACATCATTATTAGTGTTTTGTTCGCATGCCTTCTTTGCAGTTGTTTGCAAAGAGTCAGGCCATTTTTATTTGTATAGCTCAGTGGTTTTCTAGCTTTTCTTCAAAGAGAAATCAAGCATTCATCTGCAGAGAAAAAGCCCTTTAAACTATCCAGAATGACATGAATGACAATTTTGATTTTATTGTCAGATGAAGACGCTTTTGCAATAAGCCCCACTAAAACTAAAACCTCACTCCTCATCATCTGACAGTTCCACACAATCCAGCACACGTTCTTGCCGTCTCTAGTTAACATCCTGTGCTCTTTTACAGTAGCCAAACTTTCTCTGAAAGGGGACCCTTGGTTTTCTAACTCATTTGGCACAATGGCATTAGTCGTTACCTCCACAAAAACAAATGGCGCACTCATGCTGAAAGCCGTTGACACCCCCAGTCCAGTCCAGAAACTTTTGGAGTAATTTCTCCTGATAGCTTTTGTTTCATCTTTAGGGGGTTTTATTTGTTTTCTCCACACAAGAAATCTTCCCCCTCACAAATGTTGTCCTCCTCTCTACCAATCAGGACCTTTGATTTGTCATTCAGGGCACTGAATGTATGTAAATTCTATTTGTGCAGTTAAAATAATAAAGCTTGGTTGACTTAAAATCCCATGGCACTCCTGGACTCATGTACACTCACAACCACTTCTATAGTCTTGAATCATATATAAAGGTTCAAAGTGCTTCACATGAATAAAAACTCTTTAAAACAATAAGAAAGAAAAAACAATTAAGAAATTCCAGGTCACTTTAACAGCAGTGGGTACTTCCTGGTCTTAGTGCACTTTCAAATCATGCGCTTGTCCTTTGATGCCCACAGGAACTGAAGTCAGCTGACTGTAGTGCGTTTTATGGCTTTAATCCTCAATATCCAAGCAAATAAAACTTATAAAAAGACCCTGTACACGTCGAAACATCACACGCCAGAAAGAAACCCTGCATAAAACGAAAAAACAAACAAACATTTTGTACTTACGGGTCATCTGTGTCACTCTCCATCTCGCTGTCCACCCCACCCCTGTCTGTAGGAGGATTGTCATTCGTTGGGGGTGGACATGATGGTGATCCTCTCTCCAGGTCTGGAGGACCTGACCGCCCGTCACTCACCAGAGCTACAGCACAGCGAGGCTCTGAAAATATTACCCAAAAAAAGCGATTTATGTGCCAGTTTATGAAAGTAACAGTGGCGTATGTGTAAACACGGGGCTACTCTGCATGCAGCTTGCTGATGGCAGGTATTCTGGCCAACTGTCTGTGGGAGGTGTGACAAGCTCTGACTCAATCTATGTTATAATCTATTGCTGTAGTAACAAAAATACTTGTGTAAGATGGAGGCAAACATAAAGAAACTGTTCTCTGAAAAGTTAAAATCTAAATCTGTACATCAAATAAGTATGCAGCCATTAAATCCACAGACTGAAAGATTTAGCCGAGTATTCCTTGTATTTATTCTGTTTTCAAGGTTTGACGGGTTTACAGAGACTGGCTTCAACTTCTGAATTCACCATTACTTATTGAGCTAACACTCTCTGCAGCATTTAGTCAGTCAGGGTGTGCGGTGAACAAATCTAACAAAATAAAATGGGTCTTAAGGTAAGACATAGCTTTTGGGTCTAAAAAGTGGATCCAGTAGTGGCAAAAACAGAAGTCTTATGATGCAGAAGTTTATGAGAAAATGACTTGATTTAAGGCCTCAGCAAATAATGTCCTCATGAGTTTATAGTCTCTGAAGCTAATTTTATTTTTTATTTAATACAGCATGATGTTAATTTTGTAACTTGGTGCAGTCTGATCATGGTGATCTGGGTCCAACGAAGTTATCTATTCCACTTTCACAGATGCGAAACAGAGTGGGGTTTTCTTTCTCTGCTCACTCTCTTAATATTACTTTTGTTTTCTCGATGTTATTTCTCTAATTTTCTATCAAAAGTATTTCTCAGTCTCATCAACAAGCTTGAAAGAGTTGGCTGTTCACTTTCTCCAGTAAGGAAAATTTTGTTTTTAACCCTGCTTCTAAAATAATAAAGCCACTTACTGTAAATAACCACTGACTGTCACCAAATGGGCAGTTCAGTGCCACTGTGAAGCCTCAAGCTCACTATTTCTGCATCGTCATCTTGATGTTTTGAAACCAGACATGATAAGTGAGTGGTGTATTTCACAGAGAAACTAAGAGACGTTGCATGCTTACACAGCAACTCTCAGTAGGCCCACCCTAAAGCACACCATGCTTCATACTGCTTTCAAACTCTAATTTGCACAATAAACGTTGTGCTGCATTTCAGTAGAAGTAGAAACTAGTGACCAAAACTGCACTGTCTTCACTTATACAGTCTGTGTATATAACAGATACACTTTGCTAACCAAATTAGCAAGGCATTAGCTGATCAGCTCTATTCTCTCATCTAAATATAGTCATATTCGGTTTCACAGAGCCGAGATGGCACTGGGCCAAACGCCAAACTCTAACCTTCAAACTGGTAATCCAAAAACTAATGAGTGATGTCTAGGTGGTATAAAAACACTAACTTTGGCTGAAAATGCTGGTATGTGCAGCAAATGCTGCTAAATGAGCAGCTCATTGGGAAATTATCACCAGCTACTCTGATTTTCTGAGCAGATAAAACAAGCAATTTTAAGTTGTGACCTTCTAAGCAGGTCTTAAAGTGGACCCACTCTAGTTTTCCTTATTTTCTCTCATATGTGGTATGTACTGTTAAAGTGGTAGAGATCATATTAAACATGGATGAAGTCTCAAATAATGAGGTTAACATGTCAAATCCCTGTGGCTGAAAGGCTCAGGCTTCAGACAGCTCAAAATGCTGGGTGTGAGACAGTTTTTAGTACTTTTGGTTTCCGCCTACTGTTCAAACCTCTATTTGTAAGGAGCAGCCAATCAGAGCGCCTTGAGGCGACTTTTGTTGTGATTTGGCGCTATATAAATAAAATTGAATTGAATTGAATTGAATTGAATAGATGAAAGCTGGCTTAAAGAGGGAGGAGCTAAAGCTACTTGTTTATTTTGAACTGTGAATCATGCAAAGCTACTCCAGTAGCAGATATAAATAGAGAGGTGGTAAGCAGAACCTCTTTAAACAGCATACAGCTCTTAAAAATATGACTTAAAAGGCCTAAAATAAAATCCCATTAAGATGTGTACAAAAGAGATTTCTGTTTCCAAATTAGCTCGTAGCTTACTGAAAATCCCCACCTGCTCAAATCAGTCTTTGAATAGATTTCAGTACTTGACTCAATAAATAGTGTTATCAACAATGTTACGAGAATAATAATGGTGTGAACACCAACTGTGGTGATTTGCAATCCTGTCGCAACTGTTTTGGGAAACACTGACTTGGCTGTTGATTTGTACTTGATTGTTTTGGCAGGCGTTATTTGAGAACATATCCCTGCATGCCGTTTCCTGTTATGAATATTTTATTGTGGGAAAACTGTTTATAAAACTGTTTTTAGGGCACTAATCCATCTTCGGCACACCTCTCCTGGGTAAAACCTTACGAGGTCGTGTGTACAGAAAAGGAATATGGTCATTTGGTACCTTTGCTCTGATTGACAAGCTGTTGGCCATCAACGGGCTGGGCAGCTGCTCCCGATTGGCTGGGCTCCAGGAAAGGGACCAGCGAATGCCAAGGGAACACTGGCACCGACCGAGGCTCCACGTTGGTCCAAACTGTGGGAAGAGAAGGGAAAGAGGGAGAGAGAAAAAGTGAAATGTCATCATGTTTATCTGCCTCAGTATCACTGCCTGTAAACAGAAAGTATCACTCTGCCCGCTGGCAGCATGTGAAGTCTTGTGTGACCATCACTGCTGTTAAAGCGATACTAAAAACCACACTTTGACAAAATGTGTCTGGAGACCATGAATGGAGTTGTGTACTCAGTCACCTAGTCAGCACCTGTCTCCAGCACACACACATGCAGATGAGCCCTCAGGATAATGAGAGTTGAGGGGTCATGTGGTGTGCGATGTGATGAGGGAACCTGTTATTTTATCCACACAGATTCCAGACTCCAGTCTACTCGCTGTCTAGACCCCTGCCGAACTTCAGACTCTCAGCTGAACTCTCTCTGTAGTGGGATCTATTTCAAGCTGACACAAACGACACCGTAAAACAAAATGCAATAAATTCAAAGAGTTTAGAGCAACTTCTCCTGCTGCCATCTTACAGAGTCACAATGCATCATGGGTCCAAAATAAGGACCCAACAGTATTTCTCCCCTAAATCATACTGTAAAATCACAGAGAAGTTGTTGTTTGACCATATGTGATATATATTCCAGGTAAATACTGCTGATATCAGGTTGAAAGAGGAGCTTGGCGCGAGAGGCAGTTTGATGACATTTCAAAACTAAAACTCGTTCCTCAGTCTTTCTTTTAACAGTAATTTTACAACACCTGTTTGCGAGGTTGCTTCAGTAACTTAAGTAAAATAAAAGGAGATGTTGAAAAGAAGTTACAATTAATATTTTAAAAAAGAAACAGAATGCCATAATGTTCATACGTACATACATTTACTGTAAATTTTATAGTCAAGCCTTCACTGGGTACATATTTTTTCCTGGAGTAGTTTCCTTTACTAGAGATTTTTTTTTCCCTAATACAAATATTTCACAATATGTTTGAACATACAAATAAAATAATTTAAAGAACTGCCCTAGTCCAATGAATTGCCCTAATAATTATGTATTTCCAATATTCCCCTGGAATGGCAACGACTGTGTTGAACCAGGATATTGTTAAAGACTAAAACATCTCAACAACATTGGAATAACATTAATTTTTTACTCAATGTTCATAGTTCACAGAGGATGAGTCTGGATGCTGGTAAACACTGGTTTGCCACCACTCATTCTGAGCTGGCTGAAATGGGGGTGAGACACAAAAGATTCCTGCACGGAGAAAAACCCTGCACAGTTGTCTGTTAATGACCGACCCTGTAAAACCAAAAACATTCCCATTCACCACAGCTGCTTTTTTGTGTTTCAGGCTACTTAGTGAATGTGAACATGCTGATATCCTTAACCAAGGTGGTAAACTCAGCAGAAACGAAACCTGTTAAACACCAGCATGTTAGCGTGTAAAAGAAGAGACTCACAAGGTTAATGGAAACTAAGCTACATAAACTTGTTAAACTGTCGAATTATACACCACTAACCTTTCTAGTTATATTAATTACAGAGGCATGGTATTTTAGGCATCTCTACTGAGTTTATTTGATAAAGCATTCAGCTTTAGTTACTCCCAGTTCCCTGCTCCTCCCCTGCCTCCATTAGTCCAGATTCAAGTCCAGCCTGGTGGAAACGAACTCTTCGCTGCAGCACTGACATGTCCAGTTTCCATTTCCATTTATAATTATATAATTAAGTATTAAAATGGTCTAAATATAGCTAACCATTTGCCAGCTATTGCTCTTCTAAATGAAGATCTAGATACTGCTGAGCTAGACAAGTAAGAAAAAGAAGTGCATCTTGGATGTACTGTAGCTGCTGTTAGTTTCACTGTGTTTAAGAAATCCTTTGGATGCAGATTCTCGGATCACATGACTAGGATCACAGCACTGAGACTTCTGGACTCCGTACTTCTTTCTCCGAGTTTATACTACTGTTTGTAAAGGGAACTTCAGTTGAGGAAGTGAGGCTTTTTCAAATTCTTTACACACCACAAGACGCTTTGCTAAGATGCCCGGGAAAGTCCTTAAATGCAAAACAATTCACACACGTTATTGTTGTTTTCCTCATTAGTCGGTTGAAGGTAAAATCCAGCTGCACTGCTCTTAACCCCGCGAGGTTGAAGGTCTTAATCGAGGACAAATCAGCTGATGCAGACATTTTAAGGAAGAGCAGAGACAACATTTGATAGCAACCATAGCAACCGTTCATTACATAAACACAAGACATAAACAAACAATCCCAAACAAAATTACGCTTGATTTCTGTGTGTGGCAAATTACAGGCAGGTCTACGGCTATTTATGTAAACTGCTCGACTGAAACACATGACGCACTTCATTTGTGATAAACCGATTCATACAGACTTCTCTCACAGCTATATAACACGTCACATGACTTCTGGGCAGCTGGTTACACCTCATCCACAAGTTAAAGGCTTATGAGAAGTCACACTGTTTTACATCACTGTTTTAAAATGTGTTAATATACACGCCCACCCCAGAAGGAATAGCTGTGTTACAGCTAATGGGGATCCTAATAATCAAATAAGTCCTCATGCAGACATTTGTTACTGTAGAATATTCAGTGAAGACATTTCTTGAATTGGCTATAAGACCAAATTAAGAGAATTAAGACCCTTTCAAATAAAGTGTAGCTAATGACAGTCTGCTAGTTTAAATGAGCAGCTCAATAGGATACGGTTATAATGTCACAAATTATTGTAACAATAGAAAGAAGTGTGATTTTCAAACTGTCGACATGCAACACATTTTGCTGTTTCCAACCACAGATGTGGTCAATTACAATAATTACTACTACGACCTGCTCATCTGTGTAGTACATGTGTTTAAAGGCTTAAACATATCGTACACACAAGGCACTTTACATTGCAAACATGGTATTGTAACAGACACACAAGCAACTATTTGGCAAGAGCGGGGAGAAAGACATTGTTTTAACAGGAAGAGACCTCCAACATAACCATGCTCAGGGAGTGGCAACCTTGAGCCCCGCCAGTTTGGGGTTGAAGGGAGAGAAAAAAGAGAGACACAAAGACAGACATGCAGCTGTGGTATATAAAACATGGTTAGTAAAAAGAGGGGAAGTCCCCAGCAGCATGAGCCTATAGCGGGATAACTAAGGCGAAGGCATACTTGGAGGTCTTAACCATTAGCTTTGTCAAAAAAGCAAAGTCTGAAGCTCATTGGTGAGAGCAGGGAGGGGGTTTCTTGTCTCTTGTGATTTACAAGCCATTAGCGAGATCTAACCCTCACTCATCACATCCAGTTTCAAAACACTAAGATGGCGACAGTGAAAATGCTCGACGCAAGGCTTCATAGCTGCCTTCACAAACCAGTGGGTGATGTCATGGTGATTATGTCCACATTTTATACTATCTGTGGTTGTGACATACCAGAATATGGCCAAATGCAACGGTGGGTAGTTTTATTTTTCGGTTTAGGTTATTTTAGCTATGAAAAACCTGGCTAGAGATACTTTGAACATTTTAAGGAAATGCTAACACCCGGAAGAGGTGAAGAGCACTGATCAACTAATGACAGTAGTGAGTTGCGAAACTATCACAGAGAAGCACTGCTCGGATATCTACATCAGATGTTTTTATTGGTTTATTTGGTTTAGTGACAAGCAAAAGGCTGAACTGATAAAGACTTGCACACGATTTAAAGTGGGGAAAACTATGCATCTGACCCATGACTGCACGTTACTACCACTAGACCTTTCCTAATAATCACTCCCGTGGGTGGAAAGTATAGCAATAAAACAGCTCCTGAGCTACTTCTGAGCTCTTATTCCTCCTTCTTCTCTGTCACTGAAGACTGCAGATGCACTCAAAGGGAGCAGTAATGAAACTTGTGATGCTAATGCAGCTGCACTTGAGCTGGGCTATATTTAGGAGAGATCTCAGCCGTGGGGCCTGCTCTGCCTTCTTCTGTGTTTGTTTCTGGGCCCGCGATGGCTCTAGGTGTTTTAAAAAATGTATGGCGGAGGAAACGTTATGCTACAGAGGCAGGTGGCTGTTAGCAGCAGTGCGAGGGATGTGATAGGGAGAGAGAAGGAGAGAGGGGGGAGAGAAGAGTGCACACCAGTAATCAGCTCAGGCCTGAACGCTTTACTGCACTAATTCTACCGGTGGAAACAGTGTATCCATGACAACACGCCAGCAATACGATTGCTCCTTTTTCTGCTGAGAGCAATGAAACACATTCATATCACGCTGGACCTGCCCTTAATGCCCTGTCTGAGGTTGTTGATTGTCTGGAACAAGTGTGCGTGCTTGCTTGTTTGTTTGTTTGTGTGTGTCTGTGTGCGTGTTGTGTGTAGGAGGTGTGAATGTCCTTGTTGCTCTCTGCACTCCCGCTCTCAGTCTTGCATGTCTAGACATGTCGATATTCTCGCCCTTTTTAAGTTTAAAGTGAAACACCCCTTATCACTCCCTTACACACGCGCGTGCTCACACACATGCGTACACATATAAAAAGGGTGACACCCGCTGCACACTCGATAACTGTGACACTACACACACTGAGTCACAGATTACACACAGCGAGCAGCGGGTCTGAGTGGTTGCCAGAGCGACTGATGTATCAAAGCTTTCGATATTCATACCTCAGAAGAAACTGTTTCACTTTAAAGTCATTTTTAACATTTGAGTCAAGACAAGATATTATCATTTAATCACAAAGGAGGATATGAAATCATAACTTAAGGAACTCAAAGATCCTCGAGAAGCAAAGCTGATAGTTTTGCCACTTGTGTTCATGGCTTTAAAGTGTAGACTGAACATAAAACATGGACAAAGACACAGTTGTATCCATCCATCATTTTCTTGACTCCACCTTTTGAATCCTGCATTTTTGCATCTGGGAAAATGGCAAATGGTTCAGGAAGTTACCATATTTGGATGAGGGGAAACTCTGTTGAGCTGCATTCATAAACTGTTACCTGGTAATAGTAATATACTAATTAAGCTGCACAATTT